TTTTGAATACAAGGAATTAATTTGTTTTATTGTATAAAAAAAATTCAAAAGACTTAAATTTTTTAACTTCAATTTCAAAATTTGATTTTTACGGATTATTTGGACTTCAACATGTCGGTATTCTAATTACAATAAATTCCGAAAATTATGATGAATGCAATGTCTAAGTATTAATTGAGCTCTTTGACTGAGCCTAACTATTGTGTGATCCATTATAAAGATTGAGCCTAACTATTGATCCATTGTAATGATTGAGCCTAAACAAAATTAATATTCCGAATAATTAAATACTGTATAATAAGTTTATAAATCATTTTAAACTTCTTAAAACTCGATATTTACAAATTTTTACAATGTTTTTAATTAATGAACATAAACTTATAAATTCTTCTTACATTTAGTAGTATGAGGCTAACATCATTTACATCATCATTAATAAGTTATATTCCTTTTAATTTTCGAGAAGTTTTAAGAACAGTTAAATAAACGAATAAAACAAATAAAAATGTATCTTTTAAATCGTAAATAAATAAATTTATTTATTTGAATCCGTATAATTATTTAAGGATTAATTTGTCTATCCATGTCCAAAAATATTAAAATATTGTATCTTCCTGTGACTATAACAAATTATGAAATTTCTTAACGAAGATAAATTATTAAATTATAAAATAAATTTAATGAGTTTCGACTTTGTTGCAAATTTATTAATAATATAAATTATAAATCATAAAAATATGATTAAAAACCTGTAAATGATAGATCAAGATATATTATAAATATTTATTAGAAAAAATTAATCTGAAAAGAATTTAATTTTAAAAATTTATTAATGAAAGTAAAACAAAATGTTCCATTTATAACTGACGTTAACAGTTTAAACGTGAAACTTGTTGACAATTAAATTAAGAGATTTGCAAACATATCGATTATTTACGAAATTTTTGAATAAATAAAAAGAAATAAAAGAAAATTTTAAAGGATTAATAATGTTTATAATAATAATTCACAGATTATTATTTTTTAAATTAATGCTGTTAAAACGGAGAAAACTGAAAATTAACACGTATACTTCGCATTGGAATTGATAATTGAAAATTGATCAAGTTGAAAACTAACAAAAGATTTGACATTTTTTATATAAAAAATAAGCAAATTTTAAAGGTTTATTAATTTTTTTAATATTTGTTCGTCGACTAGTTTTGAAAATAATGTTATTAATACAAGAAAACACGAAAATTAGCCTGAAAGACTTGCCTCGAACCACGGCCAGATTCAGATTTGTGGTCCTAATCTATAACATAAGAAATCCTTCTTCTTCTACTGAATAGTGATAAGTTTAAAAACACGAAGTTCTATACTGTATAATTATAAAACGAGTCTTAAGCGGTTGCTTACGTATAAACTTACTCACTTGAACTTGATAAAAAATTGATTAAATTAATAACAATTTAACATATCTGATATTTCTTATATTTAAAATATATGCTCTCCACCTCAAATTAGTAGTGGCTTGCCCCTGTACATCATACTTTTCCTTTAACAACAGAGTCGTGCCGGTCATCTATCTAACACCTTTCAGGGGAAAATGTTTGAATTGAAATAACATGACTTCCAGTTTGAATCAAAAGTTCATATATAGTTAATCGGGGCTTCCTGCCCTAAGACTTCCATATCTATTTCGTCTAACTAACCTTGTTCTCTTGAGATTAAGGGAAAACAGACGGACGGACGACAGTGGTAATTTATAGGTCTACAATTTTTTTCAAATTTCAGCCTAATGAAATGAAATTCCGAATTATTCGTTAGTCATTAATGTAATTAATTACAGTTTACTTGTAATTACACTAGAAAAGTGATATGTATAGAATATATTTTATTAGTGTAATTACTACTAAAATATAGTGCTAGTAAGGTAATATACACTATAATTGAAGTGTAAAGAGTAATTAGTTAAATTTTAATCTTAGTGTAAATATTTTTGCTTTATAATTGCTAGAATTTTTACTTAATTGCTTAAAAAACAAAACGAATCATCATCGATTATTCAAACATCAAAGTAAAAACGAAAAAGAACAAATTATCGATATGTAATTACATTGACGATAAGGAAATTTTTGTTAGCTCTGTGCGAATTTTTGCTATTTTCTTAAATAAAAACCATTTATATTTTTAAAAAAAAATTCTTATTGGTCGATTTAGAAATAAACAGTTATTGAAAAAATGTGTTATATATATATATATATATATATATTATTTCTCTTTTGAGAAAAATACGTTTTTATGTTCCGGAAACATTTTGCGGATATGGCAAAATTCCGAAGATAAACTGTATCAGCTTAGAAAATAAATTGCAATAAAACTGATAAAAACTAAAAACTTTCACATTAAACCTTTCGTCATTTATTTACTTCGAAAATTTGTTTAAAATATTAAAAATACCCGAATAAAAGAACAAACAAAGGAAGGCAAACTGGCATGTCTGGCATGTAACAAGTATTTTCCCATTTAATGAAATAGGTATACTCCAAAAAGTAAATATTAGTTATAAATTAATGATTCATCTTTCAATTGATCGACTCTTCAACACGTAATTTCTAAGTTAAGATAATTTTAAGACTAAACAATGTAATTGCGATAATTGAATGTTACATAAAAGGATTAGACCTATCTAATTACAAGAGATGCTACTTGATATTTTCTAAAGCTGAACTATTTTTATATTTAATATAAATTTTGAATTCTTTTAATAGACACTAATTATTTTTAGGTTCCTAGTTGTAAATTGTTATTTCTTTTTTATATTTTATAATGTCCGAAAACTTTTTAAATTTTGCTTAAATATTAATTATATTTAATTATAATCGGTTAAAAGAAAAAATTGCTTTAATTTATACTTAATTAAATTCAATATAAATGAACAGAGCAGAAATTTAAAGTAGAATTCATTCGAAGTAATTTTCCTCCCAACCATTAGTTCGCGATCGCTTTGATACATGTTCGAATAATGCACGATCTTTCAGTACGTCAGAAGGTTGGGAAGTGCTGTCTCGAATTGCGCTTAATTGAAACGAAAATAATAATGCAGAATGAAAAATCATGACATTTTTAAATATATTGCTAAATTAATGACATTAAAATCTAATTAGTAAGTAACTTAATAGGTAATTATTAAACTATTTTAAATTATGCATAAACTTACAACACGAGAAATATCGATTCAAATATGTGTACTAAATGTCATATCAAAAAGACAATTATATAATTATATTTAATATAATTTTCGTGTAACGCAGCAATTAATATTTTTAATGAAAAAAATAAAAATAAAACGAGATATTAATAAGTTTAATTAATTTCATCACTTAAATTGAATTCGAGGAAGAAAAGAACTTCAAATATCTTATTATTGGTAATTACAAAGAATAATTTAGGCAAAAGTTCACTTTTATATTTTTCTAAGTATAAATTAAGCTGTCATAAACCATAAAATTTCTAGTGGTTAGAAATGGTATTAATGAACAACTGCACAAGAGGAGTAAATTACAACGTTGAATTCGTCTTTAATGTACGAGTGACAAATGATGCAATAATTGGTTAAGTGCACTTTCTAAGTTTATAACTTGGATGAAGAAAACGTGTTAATAGTCGCCGTTTCTATATTTTAAATAGGATTTAACTTAAATCTGTATTTAATTTAGTCTCATATTAGAAATTTTCAAGAGAACAATTATACAGTACAATTTTCAAGAGTATCTAAATGTACAATTTAGAAAGGAGGGGAAAAAAAGCGAGGAAACAAGGCAAAGTGCTCGTCGCTGAAAGAGCAAAAACTCATAAAATACGTTATTTTAAATTGTATTTATCATAAATTTTATTTTTATTATTTATTGTTAATAAATCTTCATAACAGTGAGATTGATAAGAGAAAATATATTTTCGCCGGTGGAAGATAATGCTGATTCGGCAACTCGAACAACATAACAATTATTATCTATTGTTACTTAACGATCATAATGATCATCTTCAGTAATGATCCCAATCTCGAATTTATTTATGATCATAGACATTATTTAGAGAGAATTAACATTGTTAATTGGTTATATTCTTACAAATAATCGTTATGTGCTATGATTTTCAACTTGATTAAATGAAATTTTTACAATAAGCAATTGATCAATTCCCACTAACGTCTGTAACTATATGAAATAAGGTTATATTTTAATTTCCTTTAACGAAAATTTAAAAAAAATATATATATATATATATGTTAAAAATTCAGTTTTAAATTAAATAATTAATTAATATAAAAATGATCTAATTTAAGACGAAAACTTCTAACATAATTAGTAATTTATGCGCTAATTTTTCATCGTTAAAGCAATTATATGATAATTTCTAATGAGAATATTAAAAATATATGCAAATTTAAGAAAGAAGAAATGTATTTTTAACGTTTATAACATAGAAAACAGTAATTTTATCTGCGAATTAAAAGCGAATAGTAAATTTATTATCACTAAATTCGAAGGAAAAAAGTCGATATTTATTATCATTATTCAGCTACGTGTAATTTATTCGAAGAGCTGTACAGTCGATAATAGTTTGTTATAGGGCTAATTTTTCATCGTTAAAGCAATTATATGATAATTTCTAATGAGAATATTAAAAATATATGCAAATTTAAGAAAGAAGAAATGTATTTTTAACGTTTATAACATAGAAAACAGTAATTTTATCTGCGAATTAAAAGCGAATAATAAATTTATTATCACTAAATTCGAAGGAAAAAAGTCGATATTTATTATCATTATTCAGCTACGTGTAATTTATTCGAAGAGCTGTACAGTCGATAATAGTTTGTTATAGGGAAACTTTAGCAAGTTATCGAATCAGTAACGTTATAGAGCACTTCTTGATCTACCCATAATTCCGAGCGCAGGTTAGAAGCATTGACGATCCATCCTTTGGTCAGACACCGACTAAATGCGTTGGGGGAAGGTCGCCCTTCTATTGCATTTTGGAAACATTCAGCTTTTGGAAAAAAATATATATTTAAATAATATCGAATAGAACATAAAAGGTAAATGCTCAATTTAACATTCCTTTAGTCTCAAAACTTTATAAATTATTATATAAATTAATTAATATTTTTCTATGTAGTAATTGTAATAACTTCTCACTTAAATCATAAATATATAATTTCTATAGTTAATTAATAATTAAATTAATTAAGAGAGGTAGAAACTTAACTCACGTAATATTAATTATAATAATTTGAGTAAAAACTTTTATTAAAACGGTTTTTACGACGCGAGAATAATAATAATAAATTTAATGATATTTATATATTGAGACGTATACACCTCTTAAATAAAGTTTAGTTGTTGAACGGTAAATATCTAATTTTTTTTTATAAGATATTAACAATTGCTGTTATCATATCTACTTGTTTCACAAGTGTAAAAAATAGGGCATAGAAGTATGGATAAGCGTAAATATTGAGATTATTAAGATTGATTAATCTAATAGGATCAGAAAATAGAAAACAACTTATCTTGTCCTAAATTAATGAACAGAATCTTAACAAGTAACAACTTTGCTGGAAAGTAAACAGGAGGATAAAACGTAACTATGGATAATCGCTGTTTTCTTCTCTTACGCTGGACTTATTTCAATAATTACCAAGAACGTTATCAGCGTATGGTAAGTTACTGATGAGACCAAATTAGTAAGAAATACACTACCAATAGAATACTTGGTCATTAACGTTTATACAAAAAAATATATACTTTTCTAACGGTAGTCATACTTGATTTTTATGCTCGAGAGAATTCTATAAATTACATCCTAATGAGATGCCTATGTTTTATTATAAGTAAAAAATTTTGAAAAGAATATTAACATATAATGATTATATAATGTTGTAAAAGTTTACAGTAAAAGTAATTGTAATCTAAAGAAGTGTTAAGATGTAAAAATATAAAATTGTGAAAGTTTTAAACTTTGAAAATTACGATAATAATATCTGCATTTTGATAAATTGTAAAGGGGCATTAAAAAGTTGTATTTATATTTATAACAAGCTCTTAAATCCGAAAGCAATCTTTTTTTCAGTAGTATCAACATATTTTCTATGTTTAATCTTTGTTTTATAAGCGTAATAACAATTTATTAAGCTGTATTTAGTTACTTTTGTATGGAAATGAATAGTCACGTTTTGTTAACTGCATCATCAAAGTAGTTTTCCCTCTTTAAGAGTACAAATAAATGATGCAAATGATAAAGAATGTTAATAAAAGTATAAGTTATTGTTCGAATAAGATCATGTCTTATCATAAAAATAAATTTAAAATTTGAGCTATAACCTTGCATTAATATCACATAATTTTCTAGATACACGTATCTCTGCTTTATAAAGAATATGTTTAGTAGAATCAATTCTAATTAGAAATTAAATATATTTTGTTTAAATAAATTGGATACTTTCCAGTTATTAAACGAAAACCATTTCCAATGATGCGAATGTAAGACGATAAATGCGAAGCATTACAGTTTGACAATTGTTGACAATAAGGCGAGTGCAAACTAAAATAAATGCTGATAACAGGTGCCATATTGACACTGTAAAGCGATAAAGGATGAGAATTTCACGGTTATTATTGATAAAGATGGAAACCCTATCATTGACGAAATTAAATTATCGTTGACATTGATGAAACAGAGAGAATTACTGCAGAAGCAATTGATAATGATTGCGAACAGTTTTACTATTGATGTGATGCAAGAGAAAAGGAAGCAAATATGTCTAAAAACAATCTGATTATAACCTGAATGCAACTCTTGCTCTGTTGACCTTCCATAAAAATAACAGTTATTAGTATTCGCTTGTGATAAAAATTATTATTTAACTGTTGACACTGATATATACGTTAGATAAGTTATATTGAATCCATATAAAGTGGCCACCGAATTGACATAATACGTGAAGATAAGTGAGAATAAATTATTCCTACTTTTCTACAATAAATGCTGGGATCCTCTATGCTGCACGAACTCGCCTGTAACTTCTAAATTAATTACTTCTTTAACCTTGACTGGTAACTTTTGTCTTGTTTCATTACAATGACTCTTTTCTATGGCGGAATTCCGTCTTTACAAAAGTTACCAAACTTGTATTTGTTTAGTAAGTTTCTCCATAAAAGAGCAATAAGACAAGGAATTCGTTTAAAAATTAAATATTTCTGAATAATTTCGAAGGATAAATAATCGGAAATAAACGAAACTGTGCCAAAAATTTCGAATAAAATCGTTTATTTTTATATGATAAAATATGTTGGTTAACTTTTTTTTCTCTGAATTTGACAGATTTTTGTGTGGATTCTTTCTTTAAAGAAACATTTTGCCCTTTTAGAATTTCTTTAGGTTAAAAGAAACATTATATATTTTTCGTGTTTGGATTTTAAGTTGTTAAATGATTTCTTTTTTAAGTTCCAAAATCAGAAGTTGAGTCAGAAAAATATACTAGATTTAAAAAAATAGTGTGTTTCGAACATGTGGAAAACATATGTTTATGTCAAGTCTTTAGCATTCTGATAGACGGTTATTCATAACTTATTATTGTCTTTGCTTCTATTGAATTAAATTTCTTTATATTTTCCTCTTACGATATGCAGATTTATGTTCTTTCTTCTTCCTTTTTTTTAAAAAATAAGTTTTTAAATACTAAATAATTCAATACTGAAAATTCGAGATAGTCTATTCTTTTTGCTGTTATTCTCAGAACAGTAAAATCATCAATCCGGAAGAAGCTCGACAAATGATGTTCCACACGAAAAAGCAGAAATATCTTCTCTATCAACTAGTAAAAAAAAGTACAAGAGAATGTTGAATTTTAACAGGAACACTGAAAATAGTGGTTAAATGTCAAACTTCACTGAGTTTAGGAGATTTAAGATGATTCGCTACTATGGATTTCTTTTATTGTAAAGAACAGTCATAATTCATCCAGTTTGGTTAGAGCAATTTAATTTTCTTTACTGTGTAACGTGGTAAAAGGAACGGACAGACTTTAGAGAAATAAATTATATCGTACGATATATTATGAACAAACGGTGATAAAGTACAAAATTTGGAAAATTTGTATAAGCGGCAACGAAATTGTTTATACCTTCTGTACGCTAGCTGCCAGAAGTTGCAGGATTTTGATTGATTATATAATCTTTAGAAAGTTCTTTCTTTCATTTAAGAAAGCTTAACTGGCTGTTGATGACATTCTAGTATGAACTATTTCTAAAAACGGAAAAAAACTTTTAGATAAACCTTTGCTCAACAAAAGCCCATTATAAATTAATTGATAATAATCCATTTCTTCGGCAACCATAATGAAAACTATAACAGGTTTTCCGAATCAAAGAAGTATTGTGTTATGTTCTTCGGATAGATGCTCATCAATAAAGCATATTCTCCTTAGATATAGTGCTTTTGGCAGATCAAACGTAGCTTGTAACTTCCGAACGACTGATCGTGTAAGTCACACAAGAATTCTTTCTTTCTATTTTTAATTCTGCTTACAGTTTATCAAAGTATATCAAATTTAATTATGAATCACGCTAATGTAGTGAACTGTTAAAAGTTATACATTTTTGAATATTTAATGCAACGTTTTAAAAAATAAATCTGAGCCAAACTCTTCATATTGATTTATCACCATTCAATTTACTTGTTTACAAATCATGCAAATTGCATTGAATTATGTAAATAAGTATATTTATGCTAATTTCATGTCTAAAGGTCAAGCAATTTACTCATAACGGACAATCAATTTTAAAATATTTTCAAATAATATAACTTTTTTCTGGAGGAAAAAAAACTATAATTTTAAGTTCTTAAAGACTCTTCTTACGAGAAATAGTAATTATGGTATTTTTTTATTACAATTTTTTAAAATCTAGATAATCCTATTTAATGATAAAAAAGTTCGCGTAAGAGTTATCACTTTGATAAATTAAGATATGCAATTTTTCTTCAGCATAAAAAAATTATTTTTCTTTATTATCTGATAAAATCTCATATCATTTTTTTTCTTTCACTTATTATTATTAAAAAATAAATTTAGTCATTTATTAAATAATTTCCTATATAATTTGTAGGAAAATAAATGAATTAAATGGCATTATAAATATTTTCCCAAATGGAAAATTCTATTAAATTGGAGAAAATCAGATGTTTTGGATGCTTTCTATTCTTCCACTTCTCCTACTTATCCATATTTGAAAAGATTTTCTATTTCTATTGCTTTTGTTCAGATTTAAGATTCCGATTTTGAAAGAATAAAAATCAAAAATAAAATTAAAATTTTGATTTTATTAAAATAAATGTATGTCTTTTAATATTGTTTTTTTTTTCTGTTAAAAACTTCAAAGTAAATCAAGTTAAATTTACCGAATCGAATTTATTTCATTTGACAAATTATTAATTCAAACTTGACACTGTTAACAAAACTTATTCTGATCAAAGCATACAATATTTATCTCGTTCGCTTTTTTTGTGAGTAAAGAAAGGTGGTTAAAAGATAAGGAGGAGAGACTGTCATAAGATAAAGTGCTAAGTTTTTCGTCAACTTTCTCCTCTGACAGTTTTTCTATATTTGCACAATAGATCTTTGTGAAAAGAAGAGAGTGGTTAAGGTTACAAAATCCACACAAAAAAACAAAAACACAGATGCACTTTTATTATCCCAAACTTATTAAACTTTAAGCATACTAGAATTTGAAATTTTTCCATTACTTTTTAAAATTACATTTCAAAATTCTGCACAGAATTAAAGCCGTTATATACGTAAATATGGTACGTAATATAACGTCCCTCTAAATAGTGCCAACCTCGTAAAACCCCAAATAATAATCGCAATAACTTCCTCATAAACAATATATCTGTGAATTACTAAAGTGTTTTACATTTTAGATAGCATTACTATACCAAATCATGTGACTTTCAACATGAGCACTTAAACTTGTACGTAAACCCAATTCTTAGCGGTATTTCAGTTTAGCGCCACACTCGATTTAGTGACTATTTCAG